TATAGGAACAGCTTGTGATGTAGTTGCAGCTAATAAAGTGGTGCCCTCATTGGTAAATTTAGCAGGGAATTTAAGAAAATCATGTTGTGGATCTAGTGCATCCCTAATAATATTCCATAAAGCAAAAGAGTTAACTGGCACCTTCTCAGGTCCATGTAGGGTATAATAAAGCTTAAGTTCTTCCCCCACTTTAGCCCAAATAGTCAAATTGACAGTGCCCTCTTCTAGGAACCAGGGACATTGTTCCTGAACAAAATGCAAAAAATGAGCCAATTGATTAGAGGACACCTTAATTCTTCTTTTAGACAAAGTATGCATTAAAATACTAATAAACATTTTCTCTGTTTAGACTCACTCTGGCCTATGATCCTATCATGGCTCTAACATTTCTTACCCTTCCTAGCTCTGCCTATCTCTACAGAGGGGTCTGCAGCACCCTGGGTAAGGTCCTATCCGTTCCAAAAAAGAGAAAAGGCTTATCTTCAGGTCCCTGTTCAGGTGCCACCTGCTGGAGTCCCACTCCAGCTGGGTTCAGGTTTCCTTCAACGCCAACTCCGTCACTCTTTCAGGAAACTCTGAACCCAGCTGCAGTGGGACTCCGGCAGGAATCAGTGGCAGTGCTGGGCTGGATGGATCACCCTCAGACCTTTCATAATGTCTCCCAAGGTGGTCACATGTTTGCCTCTCTCTCTCCACCACCAGTCCTGAGAGATACCTCTCCTTCCCAATGGCCCCTTCCAGAAGGCTCCACGGCTTCCTAAGCTCTTCTCCTGGTCAGGCACCTTGCAGACTCCCTTTCCATCTCTCATGCAGTCACTCTCTGGTCCATATGAGAGTCCTTGTGGGTGGTGTGCTCCCTTCTGGGGTCGATCTGATTGGTGTGTCTGCATGGGCCAAGCTGGGGAGTGGGATCCCATGCAGGATGACCTCCCTCCCTCCCCATGGGGTAGCCCCAGCCATCAAACAGCCCATTTATTAGGAAGGGAGCTCTCACTGTTGCACGGGAAGAGCCTCCTTCTCTGCTCTCAGGAGTCGGGGTGGTGAGACCCCCTTCCTATGGAGCCTAAGGGGAAGGCACCCACTTGGGAGCTGTAGCCACACAGCTGGCTCACCCACGCAGGGCGTTCATGCCCCAAACAGGATTCAAGAGCCCTTGGTGTCCAAAAGCCTGGACAGGTGGCTGAGTTTTGATGTCTCTAAGGTATAGGGCCCTGGGTGGAAACTCTGTCTGGTGTCCTGAACAGCCCCAGACACCGAGGCCTCGCTGAGGTCAGGCTGACCCAGCCCCCTGGCTAGAACATGGGACACAGACTGTTGCAGGACCTGGTGACAATAGTGACTATGTAGTGTCCTGGCCCTGCAGGTGTAGGGTGCTGGCTCTCCCTGGAGGTCATGTGGGGGACTCAGCACTTCCTGGTGCCAGTCGGGTCTTGGCATTGATCCATGTAGCAGTCACCTGAGATGGGTGTGTCAGTCTACATGATCAAGTCCGCCTTCTGCAGGTGGTCCCAGAGCCCAGCTGATGGGAGACTGAGCTGGGCACTGGGATCATCTGTACAAGGAAGAACCTCAGATACCTCGTGAGAAGCAGGATCCACTCCTGAGATTTGGAAGTGGAGCCTCCCAGGTGGAATCGAGGATTTTTTCCCCCATTTTTTTTTGAGTTGGAGTCTCATTCCATCACCCAGGCTGGAGAGCAGTGGCAAGCTCACGGCCACCCCAGCCGCAACCTGCTGGATTCTGGCAATCCTTCTGCCTCAGCCTTCCAAGTAGCCAAACTATAGGCACACACTACCATACCCGGCTAATTATTGTAGAGATGAGGTCTCACCAAGTTGCCCAGGCTGGTCTCGAACCTGCGGGCTCAGGCAATCCACTCACCTCGGCCTCCCAAAGTGCTGGGATTACAGGCTGAGCCACTGAGCCCAGCCTCCATTTTTATTTTAGACCTGGGGATACACATGCATGTCTGTTACATGGACATATTGTGTAGGGGTGGGAATTGGATCTCAGGTGGCCCATTCCCCAGTTTGTGAACCTTGTGCCCTGAAGGTAGTTTCTGAATCCTAACCTTTGTTCCCACCATCCCCCTTATTGATGTCCCCAGTGTCTATTATTCCCATCTTTGTGGTCAGTTAGCTTCCCGCATATGAATGAGAACATGTGGTATCTGGTTTTCTGTTTCTGAGCCAGTTCACTCAGGATGATGATCTCCAGCTCCATCCATGTTGCTGCAAAGGACATGACTTCATTCCTTTTTATGGCTGTATAGTATTCCATGGTGGCAATATTCCACATTTTTGTTATCTAGTCTATTGTTGGTGGGCACTTAGGTAGGTTTCAGGAGTTTGCTATTGTGAACAGTGCTGCGATGAACATACGTGCACAGGTATCTTTTTTATATATTGTTTTCTTTTCCTTGGCAAGAGAGTCTTTAAAATGCAGTCTGGACCCAGCTTTGAGGCCCTGATTAGACTGCCCCTTTCTGAGTGTCTGATTAGACTGCCCCTTCCTGAGCGTCTGGATAGCCCACACTCTAACTGCTATCTTTTCAGACTCTCAGCACTCTGGGCCTACCAGCCAGCAACCCTAATGCCCCGGGGCCAGGTACCAGACAGTCAGGGACAACCCCACGCCCTGGAGCCCCCTAAATTATTCCAATTAGCCCACTCATAGGTTCCCTGGGCACCCAGCTAACCCCCTCACTTGCTGTACAAAGGCTGTCCCCTAAGCTTCAGCTGGCTGTGGCACTGACCCCGGGTGCAAGTCACCTGTGTGGCCCTACCTGGCAGGCCCCACCTCCTTTGGAACAACATTAACAAACTGTTCTGCTTTTCATCTCTCTGCATGTCATTATGTTGTGTTGTGTCATCAAAATAAACTTTAGGGTGGGCATAATAGCTCATGCCTATAATCCCAGTACTGTGGGAGGCTTGAGCCCAGGAGTTCGAGACCAGTCTGGGCAACGCAATGAGACCTCATCTCTACAAAAAACCAAAAATTAGCTGGGTATGGTGCCGCATACCTATAGTTCCAGCTACTTGGGAGGTTGAGATGAGAGCATCGTCTGAGATCAAGAGGTTGAGGCTGCCGTGAGCCATGACTGTGCCACTGCACTCCAGCCTGGGTGACAGAGTGAGACTCCAACTAAAAACAGCAACAATAACAGAAAAACTTTAAATCTTACTAACCACCAACATCCTGGGCAAAAGGTGATGCCTGTGGGTAGCTTGTTTTCAAGCGGGGGACTTACTTTCCCAAACCTGCCCAGGTACAGTCAAGGATGACTCCAAGCTTGGGGGCTGTTCAGGTGCTGCAGGCCTGAGGACAGGACAGGCCTTTCCAGGTCAACTCCACCACACCCACCCTTCACTGCTGTCTCCTACCATTTCCAGCTTGCTCAGATCCAGGGCCGGGGCCGAGGGTCTGGGTGACGCTGCCTAACTCCATCTAGGGCAGGAACTCCACTCAATCCCAGGCCAGACAGGTCTTTCTTGGGCAGCACCATGGACCAGTTCTCTGCCCCCCACACCTGCCACCCAGAGCCTGAGCTCTGCAGGTGACATCTCTGCAGAGAGCACCCCAGGATCCTTGGGCAGAGCCACCAGCAACACCCTTCGCCTGGCCCCTTGTGCCTCTCAGTCTGTGGCACCCATCATAGAGAACCAGGACAAGACCGGGTCCTCTGGTCCTTCTTCTCAACAGACCCTTGAGGGAGTGCCCGGCCAGTCTACCCCAGGGTCCCCACAGACAGGCAGAGTCACCAGGAACTGCTGAAGCTTTTTATGTAGAATCAGGAGGGGGTACAGGGGAAGAGAGGGGAGGAGCATGGCAGGAGGGGACATAGCTGACTGGGCTCCAGGGGGGTCCTTCCAAGTCCAAAGAAAAGAGGAGCCATGTAATGCCTCCCTGGGGTTGTGGAGGGGCCGAGTTGCCTCCTGACCTAAAAAGAAGGGAAGGTCAGTAAGGACAGGACTGGGAGGGGGGCTGCAGGGTGGGAGTACATGGTGAGACTTTGGGGGCTGCACGGTGGGATGGGTGCCGGGCTCTTGGGGGGCTGCAGGGTGGAGCGGGTGCCAGGTTCTTGGGCGCTGCAAGGTGGGGTGTATTGGGAGCTCTGGGGGCTTCAGGGTGGGGTGGGTGCTGGGCTCTCAAGACCACAGGATGAGGTGGATTGGGGGTGCTCAGGGACTTCAGCATAGGGGTACATGGTGATTTTGGGAGCTGCATAGTGGGTTGGGTGCTGGGTTCTTGGGAGCCACAGGATGGGGTGGACTGAGGACACTTGGGCTGTAGGGTGGAATCACATAGTGGGCTCTCGGGGCTCTAGCCACCAGATGGGAGTGGTGTCCCAGGCTGCCCACAGAGCTCTGTGCCCAAGTGTGAAGAGATGATGGCAACTTCAGGCTGACGGGAGGTTGAGGGCAGGACGGCAATTCTATTTGGAACCTGGTTCTGCCCACTCTTGGGCAGGTGACCTTGGACAAGACTCTGAACCTCCAGTTGCCAAAGGACACACAGCCAGTGAGGGGCCCAGGAAACCTGACCCATCAGGGGCACGGCTGCCATATTCCTGAATCTTTTAAACAACTCACTGGGTAAATGAAGTCATGGGGACTATTGAGTGGTGGGGGGCTGTGAGGATGGGTCTGACTCTCATGCCTGCTAAAAATACACATGGAATGAGACTGGTGGGGGGACTGCAGGGCCTCAGGGGTCCTCAGTGTCCCCAGAACTGCTCACTCACCCTAGTTACTTCCTGTGGGGCAGGTTTCTGCAGAAAAAAGGAAATACACATGATTCAGGGCACCCCAGGAATTCAGGCCAGACCCCAGCTCCTCTGCCAGGCCATATTTCCCTTGACTCTAACAGGGGCAAAACCAACACAAGATGCAGCATGTTCCTATAAACTGTGGCTCAGCTGACGTTTCCACCATTGGGGGTGGGGGGTGGGGAGTGACACAGAGTGGGGGACACCTGAGGGCGTGCGTCCTTCCTACCGCTTTGCTTGGGGATGAAGATCTTCCCTGCTTCAAGCCCTTCGATTTCTACGATCACCTCGAACTCCTCCAAGGCTTCCTGGTTGCTCTCAGGGCTCCTGCCTGTAGGTGACAGAGCGAGGCATGAGTATGTGAAATAGAATTGGGATGTTGCTGGCACCTCCATTCCAGCCAGGAGGACTAAGCTGAGCTGGGGGGACACCCGCGTCCCCATGGGGGCTTGAACTTGGATGGAGAAGAATGAGCTGGCAAGGTAAGGCCAGGGTGTGGGAATAACCTGAGAGGTTCTGGTGGCAGCAGACTTGCGGGGAGCAGGAAGTGCTCTCCGGCTGTCTTCTGGGTATCTCCAGGAGGTAAGATTGGCAACAGGACCAGCCCAGCTATGAAGGAGATGCATCTCCCTGTGGGGTGTCAGGGCACCATGCCCACCCCATTACTCTGTCATTCACACCCTCCTGGTGTCGGGGTGGGGTGGGGGGGGGCTCAGGAACCTCTCGGGAGTTCATCTCAGATAGGAGGAGTGGGACACGCTGCCACTTGTTGGCACCACCCCATCTGGAATTCAACCCTGGGCACTGAAATTCCCTGTGATCCCTTCCCTTTAGGACAAGCCACTGGGACCCAAGAACTCCCTGCAGGGTTGGTTTTCTGGAAGAAAGCCTCATTCCTGCCCCTTGAGCTCAGGATTAGGGATGCTGGATCTAGGTCTCTGCAGAGGGAGACAGAAAAGGGCCACTGCTGCAGGAACAGGGACAAAAAAGTCACAGATATCACAGGACGGGCCGAGTCTGCACGAGGGCAGCTTCTCACAGCATCACCCACAAGCGCCACTCCTGTGAGGGTGTCTGGCAGAGGAGAGGAACGGATGTGCGAACAGGGGAAGGACACATGGCCAGTGAGTTGCTTACCCAGTGAGTTGCTTAAAAGATTCAGGAATATGGCAGCTGTGCCCCTGATGGGTCAGGTTTCCTGGGCCCCTCACTGGCTGTTCCTGCAGCAGTGGCCCCTTTCTATCTCCCTCTGCAGAGACCTAGATCCAGCATCCCTAATCCTGAGCTCAAGGGCAGGAATGAGGCTTCCTTCCAGAAAACCAACGCTACAGGGAGTTCTTGGGTCCCAGTGGCTTGTCCTAAAGGGAGGGGATCACAGGAGGCTGGGGGCGGGGGAGCAAAGGCTCACAGAGACTCACGCTGGGCCCACAGGACTTGCCCTGAGGCCATGGGACTCACCCATGAGCTTTGCCATTCGGACCTGTTCCCCCTCCAGCTCGCCCTCACAGAAGAGGATGTAGTGCTCGGGTACCGACAACGGTGCGATGTGCACTACATTCTTGCTCCCATCTGCAGAAGAACCACAGCACATGTCCTGAATTAGCCACTGGAGCCTTCAGAAAGTATCTGAGAGAGCCCAGCACCCAACCTAGAAAACCCTATGGCCTCTGACCCCGCTCTCCTGTCACCAGTCACCAGAGCTCTTTGACCCAGACTCTCCACCAGGCCATGGGACCCCAATTCCCAAGGACCCAAAGCCCCTGGGAGGGGTCACACCCCAAACCAGTGAGTCACAGGAGGTCTTGGGGATGAGGTTTGCAGAGGCTGGAGTTGAGGTGCTCAGCCCCCACCAGCCAAATATGACTCTGCTTCTCCTGCCTCCAGTGACCGAGCCATGATCAAAGGAAAAACCCTGGACAAACCAACCCCGGATGGGACAAACCTGCCATGCTTGGTGTTCATGTCTCTAAGGCAAATGGACAGGTTGGGGGAAGGGGGCTTCTAGTAGGGTCAGAACAGAGTGAAAGGCTTCTAAGTCCAGAAAAGCACCGGCTACCCCCCTTCCAACAAGTGTTTGGGGCACAGCCCAGTCAGGCTCTGCAACTCACCAGCTACGAACATGCCCGGCTCTCTCGTCTTCTCCAGGATGACCTTCTCCTCCTGGCACTGCCCGTCAACCCTGGAAGCAGAAGCCATGGGCAGAGTGACCCTGGTATGGGCCTCCCCAAAATGAAGCAGCCCACTGTAGTGCCCCGTAAAGGAGGCACAGGGTCCACAGCAGATCCACAAGGGACAGAGCTTCTCTGCATCTCATGCCCAGGCACCAGCTGGCCCCTCCAGGTCACACATGGCAGCCCAGTGGTCTCCCACCATGGCCAGGAACTCTGCGACCTCTTCCTGGTGGTCGCCCTCCCACCCCGCCACCCACTGCCAGAGGGACCAGGGCGCCTGCTTGCAGACGGTGTCTGTGGCATGGGCTGAGTCCTGAGTCACGGTGTAGGGACTCCGTCCTGCCCGGGTCCCCCCTCCAGTCAGCTCTCTTCCTCCTGGAAACACTCAAGAACATGTACCATATCCACCATCTGGCCCCGTGTGGGAAAGGTTGAGTTAGAGGCTTTCAGGGAAAAAAACGTGTAAACATCAGCACCACTGTCAGGGTCAGTGGCTTCCTAAGAATTGGCTCCCAGCATCAGAACACAGGCCCTACCAACCTATGCAGGTGGGAGTCACACAGGTCAGAGCCACATAGGTCGGACCACACAGGTGTGAGCCACACCTGTGGGAGCCACACAGGCCAGAGTCACACAGGTGAGAGCTACACAGGTGGGAGCCATGCAGGGATTTCCAACGGTCTCTGCATTGCTGGCCAAGCCTCCTCCACAGTGTCTTACACCCTCCTTTGTCATTCAGAGGTCTGGTCCCCGTGGCCCTCCAAGGAAGAAATTTACCACGAGAATTTTAAGTCTGGAGCTTGCCAGTCCTGACTCTAGTCTAGGTGTGAAACATCCTTTCCCATGGAGCGTGCTTGGCAGCAGACGTTACCAGTCAGTGGAGTAGGTGGGCTGTACCCTTGGGACCTGGCGGGGGCCTCCACCTGTTTGGGTCCCTCCAGCCGAGGCACCCCCAGGGGTACAGTTTTCCTTCCATGTGGCCAGCTGCAGGAGTGCTACGGGAGGGCTGACAAGGACACCCAGTATGCATGCCAACCCACCCAGCCCTGGGCTCTCCTGGGTGGGGAAGGAAGGCTGGAGAGCAGGGTGCATGCCACCTGGTCACAGATACTCACAGAATGGTGATCTTGGCTTCCAGTCTGCCACCCTCCAGATATGTGAGGGTCAGGGGCGTCACAGACTCCGGCTTCGTCCCAGGAATCTCCTTGTCTTCTGCCATGGCCTTCAGATACCAAGTCCCTGACACCTGGGGAAGGCTCCTCTCTGTCCTCTCTGCCTCCCTGGGCACCTCCCCTTGTCTGCAGTCCCTGGGCCCTACCCCATCCCAAGGACTGGAGACGGGAACATCCCCAACCTGGCCCCCCAGAATATACCCAGCACCCTCGCCAGACCCCCCAATGCCAGCTCCCAGCCCCTGCAAGTCAGCCAGGACCACAAGACCCCTGACTCCTGGGTGAAAAGTGAAGCCAGCAGACCCGATCCTCCCAGGCCAGCCCCTCTGAAACCAGCCCACCCATCCCGGACTCTTCTGCCCTGTCTGACCATTCCCTCAGGGTAGGGTCTAAATGCCTGACCCTAAAAGGAGGGTCTCCTTGGATGGGGGAGGGAGACAAACAGTCACAGCCTCTCCCAAGCCCCTCCAGCCCACCCTTCCCCCTCTGGGTCTCACATCCTGATCCTCCTCCTCCAAGGCCAAGGGGTCCTTGGCCTGCAGGGAGGCAAGGAGGCTGAGGCTGACAGCCAGGAAGAGAATCTTCATCTCTGGGGTCTGCGCTCACGGCTGCACAACCGGCTACTCGCTAGGGCTCAGGAAAACTATTCTGGTGCCCAACATGGGTACCCTTTATACAACTGGGCTCAGGGTCCACTGGGGAACTTGGCACCGATGACTGGCCAAGCCCTTCTTGAACATGAACCACAGCCAGCTCTGCAGTGGAGCAGATGACATGTTGTTATTGTTGGAAGGTGATAAATGACATCTTGTTAAATCCCCAGAGGATCTTCCAGGCAGGCCCCTGTCCAGAGCATCAGATCTATAGGCTGTCCCTGGGAGGGAACCAAGTACAAGTAAGGGTGGGCAGGCCTCCTGCATGGGGTGCCATGAAGGGATGTGTGTGGGGGCAGCCACATCCTCAGCCATCCCACATGGGCGCCTAAGTGCTGATGTGCACAACCCCCAGGAGAGTGCAGGCCAGAGTCAGAGCCATGGGCCCGGGTCTCTGTTAACCTTCCTGCATCCCTCTGCAGGCCACTGACCCTCAGATTCATCATGGAAGAGTGAAAAGTGAAGCCAGCAGACCCGATCCTCCCAGCCCAGCCCCTCCCCATAGAGGTATGGGCGTGGTGGCTCATACCTCTAATCCCAGCACTTTGGGAGGCCGAGGCAGAAGGATCATCTGAGCCCAGGAGTTTGAGAACAGCCCGAGTGACATAGCAAGACCTCATCTTTACAAAAAAATATTTAAAAATTAGCCTGGTGTGGTGGCCTGTGCCTGTAGTCCCAGTTACTAGGGAGGCTGAGGCAGAGGGATCACCTGAGCCCAGGCGGTTGAGGCTGTGGTGAGCTGTGATCATGTCCCTGCACTTCAGCCTGGGTGACAGAGTAAGTCCCTGACAAAAAAAGGAAAGAAAAAGAAAGGAAATAAGGAAGAAAGGAAGGAAGGAAAAGAAGGAAGGAAGGAAGGAAGGAAGGAAAAGAAGGAAGGAAGGAAGGAAGGAAGGAAGGAAGGAAGGAAGGAAGGAAGGAAGGAAGGAAGGAAGGAAAAAGAAGCAGAACCCTACTGTGAACATGGTACCATATACATTTCAAGATGGTGTTCACACTCCTGAGCTAGTTATGTGGCGAAGACCCTCTGCTTTATCCACAGAGCAGCAATAGGTCTGATAGAGAGAGAGGAGGCCAAGGCAGATATGTGTGCACACATATGTACACACACACACGCGCGCGCGCGCGCATACGTACTCACATACGGGGGCAGACCCCTCAAAACAAGAATTTATTTATAAAAAATTATGTATGCAATTTTGCAATACACCTATCAAGAGCCTTTTTCCACTGCTCAAAACAGTTTTTGATCTTGTCCATTTTGGTGCTTTTTAGTGCTTCTGCTGTTTTTTTGTTTTACTTCTTCCACATTGGCAAAACATTTCCCTCTGAGGACTTTTCTCATCCAGGGAAACAAACAAACAAAAAAAGTCACCTGGGGCAAGATCAGGTGAATAGGGAGGGTGGGGCCTGGGGTCATGCCCTTTTGGTTCAAAAATTGCTGAACGAACTCTCAGCAGTGTGGACAGGTGCTCTTGTAAACCACCCACCATGAAAAGGGCAAATGCATTGAAAGAATCCCCCCCGAAATCCCACTGAGGCCGAATGCAATCTCTCACAATGCTAGCTGGCCCACTGATGCTGACGGGTTCCTAGAACACTCACCTAGCAGTGGAAGCCTGAACGACAAGGGACCCGCCCTCCAAAAGACAATTCCAGTTTTTGGGGAGTCCCCCCCTTGTACATAGAATCAGAGATGAAAGAGAAACACAGACTGGAGACAGGGACTGAGGCCAGTGCTCACTGGCTCCAAATCCTGAAGTCGCAGAGAAGGACTGGGTCTAGCTTCAAGGGAGCAAAGGATGGTACTTACCTGACTCAGGAGAGGAGACTGACAAAACCTTCCTGACACATCCTAGGGCTAACATTTGTTATAGGCGAGTGCTGTGGGCGTAGGAACGCAACAGGACACTGACAACCTCCAGAGCAGAAGCTGAGACAAGCCGTCTTCCAGCAGGATGACTTTATCTGTGATACCCTCTGTTTCACAGCAGAACAGACACTTGGGCCCGGGGATGGAGAGCAGTCTATGAAATGCTGCAGGGCAGAGAATGATGGCAACAGATGGCAGAGAGAGACAGTAATGCACAGACAGAACAACCTTGCCTCGAAATGAGCCAGCAAGCAAATGTTCTAAATTACCTGAAGCAACACTAAACTAAAAAAGACAGACTAGCCTGGTGCGGTGGGTCATGCCTGTAATTTCAGCACTTTGGGAGGACAAGACGGGAAGATTGATTGAGGCCAAGAGTTTGAGACCAATCTGAGCAACATAGTGAGCACCCTGTATCTACAACAAATCCAAAAACTGGCTGGGCATGGTGGCACATGCCTGGAGTTTCAGCAACTCGGGTGGCTGAGGTGGAAGGATCACCTAGCCCAGGAGGTTGAGGCAGCAGTGACTGTGCCAATGCACTCCAGCCTGGGTGACATAGTGAGACTCCAACTCAAAAACAAGAAACGAAAGAAAGACAGACTAAAACAAAAAATTAGTATAGAAATGTATACCAGCTAACACCACTTTAAAATAGCAGCACCATGACGAAGATGCCTAAGATTAAAAAGAATAAAAATTACAAAATTAGAAGTGGCCAGACATTAAAAGACAAGGATATTTTTTTTTTGAGTTGGAGTCTCACTCTGTCGCCCAGACTGGAGTGCAGTGGCACGCTCCCTGCCACCGCAGCCTGAGGTTCCAGTGATCCTTCCACCTCAGCCTTCCAAGTAGCTGGAACTACAGGCACGTGCTAC